TTTTCCTAATATCCAACCTAGACCTCCCCCACTGCAACTTGAGACCATTGCTCCTTGTTCTGTCAGCTGGTACCACTGAGAACAGCCGAGCTCCATCCTCTTTGGAACCCCGCTTTCAGGTATTTGAAGGCTGCTTTCAGTCAGCTCCTGGGAAGCCATTGTGCCGTGACTACACTATTGGATTCTAGTTGGATTCATAGGGGTAGCTTTGAAGAGTTGGCTAGTCCTAGCTTAAAGAGGTAGGCTGGGAGGTGGGTTCAATTCCTGCCTCTGCTACAGACGGCATCTGTGTCCTTGGGCAAATCCGTTAATCCCTTCGTTTCTCCCACCTGTAAAAGGGAGCTCAGACTCCTTCCACCCTTTGCTTGTTTAGATTGTACACGCTACGGGGCAGGGCCTGTCTCTTGCGGTTTGTTTGTACAGCACCTGGCGCAATGGGACCCTGAGCTCTCGAGGTGCCCGGTCTGGACAATTGAAAACTCCCACCTCTCCCATGGAGGTTCCTGCATCTCCAACTAGGCCCCATCCGGAAATCACCCTCAAGCTGGTTGTTGGAGGAAGAGGCTCCCTTGACCGGGATTGGCCGCCTACCTCCGCATTTACCCCAGACGTCATTAGTCTCAACCCCACACAAAGGCAGGGGAGGCCTTATCTGGTGTGATTTTGGTGATGTCTGGGGAAAGGTCTCTCCTCTGGGGCTGGAGGGCTCGTGATGGTCATTTCTGGTCCCTCCCGTACCCTGTGTGCAAGAAGCCACGCATCACTGGCAGGCCCTCCTGCGGGAGGAGTTATTGGGTGGTTTACTTGGACTGTGAGCTCCTCGGGGCAGGGGAAATCATGCAGCGCCTTAGCAAAAGGGGGCCCTGAGCTGGGTGTGCAGCTCCTAGACTCTACGGTAATACAAATAATAGTAATGTTCTGGTTGGTCAATAGTGCCGAATCTTTTTCCTTTTACTAGCGAAAGCCACATCCACCTGGCGTGTGCTCTGTCCCCATCTAGCAGTGGCTAGGTCAGCCAGAGATTGATGAGCCTGCTACAGCCATAGCTAAAAAAGCCAGGTCCTTTCGCTCAGGTGGTAGAGGCTCATTGAATACTGATCCCGAGGTCCCAGGTTTGATCTCTGTAGCTGGCAACCCGCCCAGCTGTGCTAGAGTTACAGTAGCGAGACATGAGAAAAGACTCGTGGGTGCAGTTCCCCTTTCCTGCTCCCTACACATTCTCCCCACACCCTTCCCCTTAGGGAGAAGGTTAGGCCCCTCACTTGGGTCTCAGGAGACAGGTTCAAGTCCCTGCTTTGACACAGACTTCTTATGTGACCTTGGCCAAGTCCCTTGGTCTTTCTGAGCTTTGGTGCCCTGTCTGCATAACAGGGATTTTAGCACTGCCCTGCCATGCGAGGTTGTGAGACTAAATGAAGGCAAGTGAGGTGCTCAGACGGCGTGGTGAGAGGGGCCAGATAAATACTGCAGATAGGTAGATCTGACAGGGGCTGTGACCTTATTAAGGTATAAGGTATCACATACTCACTTCAGACCGGTCTGTGGTCTGCTCTCCCCCCGCTCCTGGTAGCTGCCCAGTGCTGTCCGTCTGTGGCGTGTCATTTCATTATTCCGGGGCTTTGCATTCACTGGGGGGAAGGGCAGAGGCAGGGGTCCAGACCGCCGTCTTACCTAGGGAAAAAGCAATATTTAGTTACGATTGCTCTAAATACATTTAAAAAACATGACACCCCAATCCAGGGCCGGCAAAACAAATCTGCCTTTTTCCTTTAGTAACTGAAAGAGCCAACCCTTCGGTCTCTGGGCAGATAAGGAACAAATGTTATGCACTAGAAACCAATTGGCTTCTAACAGCTAATGAAACAAAGTAAAGGAGCTCAAAGACCATGCCGCTGCCAGAATAATACTTCTAAGACACAGCTGACAGGAGGCCAAACGCTGCAGACCCCAAGAATCTCGGATCAGTGAAAACAGACTATGACCCATCAATGACTACAGGGGACTCCATGAGACTATGACATCCAGGGCTGGAGGGCAAGCATCAGCCGTGACTCATTTGGGACAAGCTCCCAGGGCCCACACCACACAATGGGGATGCAACACCCATCGTGTGCGTCCCGGGGCTCAGCAAATCCGCCTTCCCCAGCAACAGAGCTACCGCGGGGTCCTAGCAGTGGTGTCCCCATGGAGCGCTCCACCCTGCACTCCCCTGTACACGCCCCGGCTGGGTTCTGAATGCTTTGTTCTCTGACTCCTGGAGGTGCCAGGCAGGCGCTAGCTGGATCCTTACGGGGAAGGGAGACACGTTGGTGTCTATAAGGGAAGTGTCTATCGCTGAGTCTCACACTAGGTGTCCTCCGGGGAAATACTTGTGTCCGTGTCCAATGAATCTGGATCCAAATCCACGGCGGACACTCAGCAGACTCCAGCCCAATCAGCGGGGAGCTCTGTCCCCGTCTCCCCGTCTCACAGGGGCGTTGGAACAGGTTTTATAGCGGGGGTGCTGAAAGCCACTGAACAAAACTGTACACCCTGTGTATGATGGAATCCACTTCAAGCCAGCACCGCCAGCACCCCCAGTTCCAGCACCCCTGCCGTCTCGCAGTGGTTGGGCCCCATATAGAGCTTGCTGAGCCTACTACAGCCTTGACCACCAGAGGTGGGTCTTTGAGCTCAGACAGTAGAAGGTCCCGCGCTTGGACTCAGAGGTCTCAAGTTCAGTGCCTGGCCCAGGGGTGTAGAATTACACATCCCTGAACACTCACCTGCTTCCCTCTGGGAGCCTGGTCTTGCAAGGGTTAAGTCTGTTGCCACGTGCAACTCCTGTGGCCTGCAATCCCCATAGCAACCAGGTAAATACAAAGCCCATTGATATGTCACCAGTGACCTAGGCAGGAATCCAGGATCAAACTGCCCCCTACTAGATGGGACCAGAGCTGCATGTCGCAGCACTGTCCTGATGGCAGGCAGTGAAGATTTGCCTTTCACTCCAGCGGTGAGGGCCCATGCTTTTGGAGCAGGGCAATCTGGTTCCTGTCCCCAGGAAGTTACAAGCGGTGCAGCATGGGGACAGCTGTGTAGCTCCTAGATAGACAGAGATTATATTTATACCAGGGTAAAGTCATCCCTAGGATAATGCCAGTAGCTTCCGTGGAATTACTCTGTGACTGATCCGGCCACTGTGTCTAAGACATGGTGGGTTTCATGAGGCTGCGTGCTGGGCAGGGCCAGCTCCAGGCACCAGCTTAACAAGCAGGTGCTTGGGGCGGCCAAGGGAGAGGGGCGGCACCTGCGGCAATTCGGGGGCGGCAGGTCCCTCACTCCCTCTAGGAGCAAAGGACCTGCCGCTGTACTGCCGCTGCCAATCGCGGCTTTTTTTTTTTTTTTTTTTGCTTGGGGCGGCAGAAATGCTGGAGCCGGCCCTGGTGCTGGGGCCACACAGAACTTCACAGCCACAGAGGAGCGAAAACTCAGAGCCTCCTGCTGCAAAAGCACCAGCCCCTACCACTGGTGCCAAAGGAAAATATTCCATAGCTGTTAGCAGTGAGGAGTCCCGGACACACAGTCAGGCAGCTGTGATTCAGCCCCGTAGAGAGCAATGCACCGTTATAAACTAGCCAGGGTCACCCAGGTAGTCAGTGATAGACTGGCAATAAAACCCACCCATCTGCCAGCCTTCAGAGCCAGGACTAGAACCCAGGAGTCCGGGCGGCCAGCCCATAGTTCTAGCCTACAAGTTACAGAAGAAGGCAAGGTGCAAACTCAGTCCCGAGGGTTAAGGCCAGAAGCATCAGTCCACACCACTGGAACAGGTCGGAGTTGATGAACCGCACCAGGTCCGAGCCAAGTAGGTCAGCCAAGGCAGGGCAAGGTGTCAGGAGCAGAGCAGGGGCCAAGAATCAGGAAGGAGGAGCAAGGCCAGGTATCAGAGGAGGGCTGGGCCAGGACCCAGGAGCAGGGCTGGGGCCAGGAACAAGGCCAGGTATCAGGAGCACACAGATGGGTCTGTTGTAGCACCAAGCCAGAGATCCCCCTAGTTGCACAGCAGCCTACAGGTGTTTTCCCTATGCCTTAAATAGCATGCCTGGGCCAATCAGGAAACACCATGGGCACTGCCACTCAGGGCCTCTGTGGGCGGGACATCCTGTGGGGCGTGAGCCAGTAGGACTCATAGGTTGCAGTTCTCCCAGTTGCCAGAGGTGGCAGTATGGACACAGCAGCTGCCTAGGAGCTTCCCAACCTGGGTTCCAGGCCTGTGGCTCCTCCCACCTGTTGGTTCTCAACTGGGGGTCCTGAGTCGTGGGAGGGGGTGTCATGAACAGGAATCAGGGGGTCACAACCACCCTCTCCTTCCCATGTTGCTAAGTCAGGGAGGGGGCCTAGTATTGAAAAGGTTCAGAGCCAATGTTCTAACCACCAGGCCATACTCCCTCCCCCATCTTTGACTAGAGCTGTTCACTCGTGTCTCCAAGCCCTGGCCCCACACTGCTCCACTGCAGGCAAATTTCACCCTTGTTTTATAAATATAACTTGGTTTTTCAACCTTATCCCTTTAACGTCCAGCTGTAAAAGGTTGGGGTTGGATTATTTTAATTGGAAATTGATATCGCCAGAGGTATGCTGCTGAGACCCTCATCCCCCCAGATCAGGGATCACTCCTGCAAAAGCTTCAGAGAGACAGCCCGGAGCATTCAAAGGTGCGCAGGCCCAGAGATATTTGTAAACACATCAAATTTTATGATCTTGAATCCTAAATCCTCATTAACAGGCACAGCCGAATATTTCAATTGCCTTTTTTTATTTTGTTCAGTCAAAAAAAATTGACATTGATTTAACTTAAACACAAATAATTTAAATATAATAAATTGTTGTTCTAGTTCAAAAATAAACATTACAAATAATATATTAAAATAAGTTCTTTGTGGGAGGAGCAATTGCCTCCCGCGACCTCCAGGGGCTTTCGGGACGGTCGCCCAGCAGCTGTTGCCGTCAGGGGCTCATCAGTTTTGTTTCACGTGCTTGATGTACTCCTGGACCCATCGTGTATTGGGATCGGAGCAGACTTCCCGGCCTTTTTTAGTGGTAAAGCTGCAGAGATAAAAACTCGGTTCAGAATCTTCACAGGGAGAAGAAGGAAAGTGGATCCCCTGGGACACAAGCTACGGCAGAGCAGATCGTGGACACCCGATGGATTCTGTGTTGGCCAACAACACTGAGCATTTTTAAAGAATAATCAGCCAATGAGGACTCTGCTTTTTTAAAGGTGAAACCTTCGCTGAACCCTACTGTGGAGAAGCTGATCTGTGACTGGCTGCCGCACATGTCAGGCCTATTGTCTCAGCCAATCAGAATGCAGCAGGTCAATAACGTTACAGCGAGTGCCTGTCACTCAGCTGTAGCACCATCCCCCAGACAGAGGGATTTAAGCTGCCTCCGACCTTGGATATCATGAGGATAAAATCACTGGATCAGCGTCTCCAGCTTTGACAACCGGGGCCTCACCCCAGCAGGTGACCTTACCCTGGTGCAATGTCCAGCCCTTGACATAAGGGACATCCTCCTAAATTCTGGTCCCACTGAGCCACTACCCTGGTTCCATGCATATTCCTTCTGCTGACTCACTTCTTCCTCCATGCCCATGCAATGAGTATCAGCGATTATCTAAAATGGTGTGTATCCCTAATCTGAGCGACCCAGGGGGATCACTGCTGCAACCCTTCTTCTTCCTCAGTCTGTCCCCTGCCCGCCCTTTGTTACTCTCGCTAGTGGTGTGCTTGCAGGTTAGATCTGCAGCAGGTGTAGCCATGCCCATTTACCCCAGCTGTGGCTCTGGCCCCGTCTGCCCCTACTGGAATGCTCAAGACACCCCGGCTTTCTTGCTGCCCGCTCAAAGAGAGCTGCATGAGAATGCTTTCGCAACCCCCTGCTGCTGAGTTACTCGTGGAACTGAAAGCTGTGTCAGTCCCTGATGCAAGAACCCAGAGCAAGGGCTCAAGCATGAACCTTCTCCATGAGTCTGCAAAACATCAATCTGTCCTTGTTCTCTTAAGCTACCTATTGTAGGTATTTTGAAGGCCTCTAGAGGCCACAGGGGAATGTGGAGAACTTTTGAATAATTGTCTTTTACCCAGGGGTTAAAAATGCCTGACATTTGTATTACAAGAGCCCTGCAGATTCCCTCCCCCATCCGTTCATCCTATAGGGTTGTTTCTCTGCATGAACATAGAACATCTGCCCGAAAATCATACTCACATTACAGCCGGCAAGGAGCACTTGATGCTGGTGTGCTGGTACTTCACCACAAGGCTCCGTGGGATTGGCTTGGAAACATAGCTGAAGCAGCAGGAAGTTGGGGTGTTGATGCCATCTGGAAGGAAAGAAGAGACTTGAATGATTCTCTAACCCATCGCTGACGGTGTCTGAGGATCTGAAGGCTTCTCCTGCAGTCCCAATAGGGTTAGCTGACCCTCAGCTCCACCCCTTGCTGTCACTGCTCACGGGCCTCTCAGAGAAGGAAGACCCCTGAGATACTTCAGCTAGAACAACTGAAGTTTATGGCTGTTTCATGGGCTCCCTCACTACAAGCCTTCCTACACCTGAAACCAACCTTGACGTAGTCTGAACTGCAGTGAGAGTGAGAGTGAGAGCTCCGAGCGCTGCAGAAAGGCAGAAGAGAAACAGGACTTACCAAGCTGAGAATGGGCCTGGGAGCAGAGGGCAGCGATGAGGAGAACAGCGAAGGCAGCCACACAGACCTTCATGCTTTTGCTGGGTGAGGAGGAGCGGCAGCAGCTGAACAAGAGCAGGAATTCTTTCAAGTTCTCCTCCTTCGTCTGATGCTGAACCACAGGCCTTTGTGCCAGCTTTATACAGCAGCATTTTAGGGAAACACATACATCAGACCAAGTACGTGATGACACACAGACCCAAATTTTGCTGAGTTGAGAAATCAAAGAGGAAGTTGAAATCTAGAGTGACTCTCAAATTCCATTTCGGTGTTTAGGTCATCAAAAGTCCTGGAAAAAAGGAAGCGAGGACATGAGTCCATCGTGGTAACGGTGGCAGGTTTGTCTTTGAACTAACACACCTGCCTTTGTGGGGGAGTAGGTGTGACACAAGACTCATAATGAAATCTGAAGTCTTGAGTCCCTAATTCAAATCCAGCCCAGGTCATTGGTGATTGAAGGTCATTACCTTAAGCTTCTGGGGACAGGAACCTTCTGTCTGTGTGACGCTCGTTGGGGAAGGGGGCGTCTTTTTCTTCTCCACTGATGGGGATTCCACAACCTCCCTTGGAAACCTGTTCCAGAGCTTAACTACCTTTATAGCTCGAAAAATTTTCCTGATATCGAACCTAAATCTCTCTTGCTGCAGATTACGCCCGTCGTTTCTTGTCCTACCTCCAGCAGACCTGTAGAACAACTGATCACTGTCCTCTTTGTAACAACCCTTAACATATTTCACGACTGTTATCCCATCCCCCCTCAGTCTTCTTTTCTCAAGGCTAAACGTACCAGTTTTTAAAACCTTTCCTCATACATCACATTTTCTAAGCCAGTTATTATTTGTGTTGCTTTCCTGGGGACTCTCCAATTTGTCTACATCTTTCTTAAAGTGTAGTGCCCAACACTGGACACAGGACTCCAGCTGAGGTCTCACGAGTCCGGAGCAGAGCGGGACAATTACCTCCTGTGTCTTACATACAACATTCCTATTCATACATCTCAGAACGATATTAGCCTTTTTTGCAACTGATTCACATTGCTGACTCTTATTCGATTTGTGATCCACTATCACCCCCAGATCCTTTTCAGCAGTACTGCCACCTAAGAGTTATTCCCCATTTCGTAGTTGTGCATTTGATTTTTCCTCCCTAGATGTAGTACTTGGCACTTGTCTTTAACTACATTTCATCTTATTGATATCAGACTTTTCCAACTTCTCAAGATCATTTTGAATTCTAATCCTAGCCTCCAAAGTGCTTGCAATCCTTCCCGGCGTGTGGTGTCATTGCAAATTTCGGAAAGCATATTGTCCCTCCATTGTCCGAGCAGGGCCGGCTCTAGCATGCTTGGGGCAGGACTTCTCAAGGGGCGGCATTCCTTTTTTTTTTTTTTTTTTTTTTTTGCGGCAGCACTCCGGCTTTTTTTCTTTTTTCTTTTGGCTTGGGGTGGCAAAAAACCTGGAGCCGGCCCTGTGTCCGAGTTGTCGATGACCATGTTGAACGGCAGTCCATCAGTAGAATTGAAAATATTCTGTTTTCACTGAAAAAGGTCAAGTTTTCATCAAAAAACCGAAACTCTAAATTTGCTTGCAAGGGGGGGAGGGAACAAAAGCCGTTTCCCAGGCAGCTCTACCAATCGCGCTTCAATATGGAACGGTGATATTCCGATGGCTGCCTGGTGACCCCGTGTGAAATGAGTTAAGGGAGGGGCCCAGCCCCATTCCTGGTGGACAAGAACCTGCATCGCAGGAAATACGGTCACAATTCACACTTTCTTGACGGCAGGTTCGGCAGAGAAGCTGAGGACTGAATCGGCCACGTAAACTGGTTCTCCTCCCAGCCCAAGGTGCACTTTCTGCCAATCAGGGTCAAAGGCTCATTGGTGAGGCAGTTCTGGGACTTGCCCGGCAGCTACTCATCCTGTGCCTATTCTCGGCACAAGCAGAGGATTTAGGGCTATCAGTCCAGCCCCTTTATTTTTAATTTAATTAAACATCTGAATGAAACACAAGGGACATGAATAGACTTTACTTGCCTATGAGTTGTACTGAGGCCATCAGTGCTGACAGGATAATGGCTGGATGCCGTGGGTGCCGGCTGATTAAAGGCACAAGCGCTAGAAGACTGGCAACATCCCTGGTTTTCTGTCCCCTTGTGGCGCTGACGTTGGAACGAGAGGCCGATTGGCGGGCTTCGAACTGACCCGTGAACCCGCTGGCTTCCATCGCCTGCCTTTCGACCCTGGAGCTGTGGAACTCGGGTGGCTGTGACCCGGTCTGTTCATCTGGCTGACAGCATGGAGCTAAGGATTCGGAGTGCTTGGGCTTTGATCGCATTTAGGGCTCTCCGGCTTTCATGCCAATTCCTGGCCTTTTTGTATTGGGGCACACCGATGGATTTGTCCCCTTTGAATTATCCGCTGTATTTTAATGTACAGCTTGGCTCTGAAAGGGGAAAAATCCGCATTCCTGGCTTCCCAGCTTAGTGTCTCTTGGAGCACAAAGAGTTTTCTGAGTGCAGGTCCTGCAAACTCAGCCTGCGATCCGAGAGAAGTGCTGGGCTGCCAGTGTGCAGAGATCATTGCCTACCATGCTGACCAATACTGCCTCCTTGTTGCCTTGTTCTCCTCCATCTGCCTGTATCCAGCCATTGTCTCTTGTCTTGTACTTAGGGCAGGGACTGTCTTTTGCTCTGTGTTTGTACAGCACCTTACACACTGGGGCCCTGGTCCAGGTCTGGATCTGCTAGGCTGTTTAGTGATACTGATACTAATTCATATGGATGGGTTCTTTCCGTGTTAGCCATCAGCATCCCCGGTAATAAAGGTCTTGTCATCAACTCTGCCCTCTGTGGCACATGATTGCCTTCAGTACAGAGGGCAGGGGGGTAACTCTGTGGAACTGAGTACCCCGCTCTGTTGCCATGCCGGTCTCTCTCTCGCAGCTGTATTGCCTAGGAAGGGTTAACAAGAGTGAAAAGCAGGAAAAACTCATTTTAGTCACTGATCTTTGAAAAATCCCCAGTCTGAGTCTGATACAGCACCAGATCTGCCAGGCAAGAAAGGGCCCCGTGCACAGTTGCTTTAAGTGTGTGGTTGGTCATTTCTATTTCAGCCAGTCTCTTCTTATGCGCTTGGTATCGTTAACGAGACAATTTGTATTTGATGGAGGCGGAGTTCTGATTTGGGGTTCAGTTTTGGGGAGTTTGGGGGTGGGGGGAATTCGTCAATAGTAAATGCTCTGTGCTAATAAAATTACTCCGGATGAAGGATAGAGGAAGGGAAGGAGCTGAGTTTCTCAGCTGAGCTGTAAATGTGGCTAAATTTGATCTAGAGGCTGGACGTTGAAGCCAGACAAATTCAGCCTGGAAATAAGATGTCCATTTTTACCAGCGAGAGCATTAACCACTGGGACAGCTTGTGAATCATGACCGGATGTTTTTCTAGGAGCTATTTTGGGGCAGTTCTCTGTGAATTCTTGTAAGGTTAAAACCCTCGCAGAGTCACTGAGAGATTTCTCCTGACCTCAGAACTTCACCAGGCCTGGGACTCACAGGCAGGAGCTGAGCCTTAGGCTGAGGAAACCTCACATGCTTTTCAAATAACCTCTCCTGAGCTCATGGCGAATCAGCTCTGAGGACAGGAGGCAGCTCGCCAGGTGCCAAGACCTGCGGAGGTTTGGACGGGAGAACATGCCATTGCTCCCGCCGCCTGTCAGGGCCTCCACTGCTCTCCCCGGGCATGTCAATTACAGCAGGGACTTGGGAGTGGACACGGCAGCACCGACTCCAGTGCCACTCAGCAAGAGCAGAGCTGGTTGAGTCCCACCAAAAGCTGGGATGCTCATGGCTGGGAAACCGTGCAAGGAATCTGAGCAGCCTGACCGTGCCTGAGCACCAGGAGGTCTCACAAGGGGAGAGAAGGACTCTTTCTCTCTGGAGATGGGTCGACAGGCGGGTGGGGAGTGGGGAGGGACTCTGTGCAACTGAGTAAGTGATGGGCAGGGGACCCGGCCTTGTTCTTCTCCCTTCACATCTGACACGCTTTGGGTCTCCCTGAGCATGACACAGCCCTGGCTAGGGAGTTCCCAAAGCATATGAGTCAGCCAGGGCCCCAGAGCCAAGCCCCATGCCAGGATCATCAAAGGTTGGGTGACTCTCCGACACGTACAGCCCAAGTGCTGCGTCTCCCCTGTTCAAGACCCATCCCTGCCTAGGGAGGCCACTGGAGCAGAAAAGATGACCCTGTGGTTCCCAGATCCATTCCATGGCTGGATCGAGGAGGACAGTCTCGTGCCAGGGCCCGTTCAGCAGTGGGGGGAATCTCAGGTAGCTGGTGCAGGGCCATTGTCCCAAAGGATCTCACAGGAACGCAGGACTGGAAGGGATCTCCTGGGTCATTGCTATTCCAGACCGCCCTGTCCTATCATCCCACTCAGGGCTGGTAGCTAGTGCTTCCACGGGGACAGGGGACATGCTGTGCTCTTGTTATTCCTAGAGCACAGAAGTGCACGTGGAGCAAACGCTCGCACTTGTAGGGCAGGGAGCATCTCTTGGGAGAGGTGTGTCCCCGTTTCACGTTGCGGGAGGGCCAGCTGCGTTCATTGGGGGGAAGGAGCCCCTGCCCTGTGTACTGGCTGGAGGCAGCTGGTTGTGAAGGTGGTCCAGGGGAAAGAGTAGAGACATGGCCACCAGGGGCCTAACCCCCTAACCACTAGGCAGCACCCTCAGCGAGCACCGTCCATCACAAAGGCCTCTGCCCCTCTGGCATGGCTGCAGGAGAGCAGTCTCGGGAGCTAGAGTTGGGGGGGCCATGGCGATGGCCGATGCCGCCCATGGCGCTGCAGCCTGCAGAGCCCCTCCTTAACCCCCCCGGATGTGACTCAGGCTTCCTCAAACTGCGACCGTTTCCTATCAGGAGGATATCCGGCCTCCTCTGGCTCTGAGTCTAGTGCTCAGACAGAGCGACCCAGGCACCGACCCCACTGCATCCGCAGGCGTGATCCCCCCTCCCCCCTATTCCAGGCTGAGCAGAAGTTCTCCCCAGCCTCCACTGGGAGCGCCCCAAACCAGCGCAGGTCTGCCCAATCACTGCCT